TTTTTATTTTATATGCACTGATGTTTTCCCTGGATGTATGTCTGTGTGAGGGTATGGGATCCCTGGAACCAGAGTTACAGACAGTTGTGAGCTGTAACTTGGGTGACTGGGAATTGAACCAGGTCCTCTGGAAGAGCAGACAGTGCTCTTAACCACTGAGCCATCTCTCCAATCCCTCTATGCAGTTTGTAACCAAGAGAGCTGCTGTTAAATCTCTATGTCTGTCCCACAAATAGACTCTTACTGAAGCAGTGCTGGTTAGCTAAGGCCCCGGGAAACAAGGTTCAAACTGAAGGTCATCCTACAGCAGGCACATTGCATAGGTAGTCTGAAGACAAAAGACCAAAACAGAGTTGCCAGGTAAAACACAGTATTCCCCCAGTGAACTTGAATTTTAATATTATACAAGATATATTTAGAAACACTACTTACTGGAAATTCAAATGTGACTGGACAGCCTAAGGTTTCATTTGCTAAATATGGCAATGTGGGGCAAAGGAAAATTAAGGTATTATACTTTCCATTGATACTATAACCACACCTAGTAAAAGCATCTGTGGACAGATTCCTATACTTCTCTATGTCATTTCATCATTCTTACTACTTACAAAAATGACAAAGTTTTCAAGGTCTGCAAACAATGTTAGAAACATATCATTGAAATAAATGGGTTGTGCTAGTGTAAGGAATTATGACGAATATTTAAAAGATGCATGCACTAGAAAATATCACATCAGATCCTGTCATTTAAATCATTTAGGATGTAATAAACACGCTATGAGTCTGGCTTTGTAGTCACACTGTTAGCACATTAACCGAGCGATAACCTATTGACCCCAAATATCCCATGAGAAAGCAACCACAGGGAGAAGCAGACATGACCGGTCTACTTCTTAGATCTGGTATTGTCTTCCACAGGAAACATTAACTTTTCACGTGATATCTCACGAGCAAGGCAAATAGTTGACTCCTAAACACTGATTTCTCGACAGATACTCTTAAAAGGAGGTACATAGTTCAACTACTCTGGACTCACTGAGGTGATAAACATTTTTTTAATGCCACTCTTTGTTTTTGTAGGTGCCATGCTCCCCTCCCCCTTCCCCCCCCCCCCGGAGAAAATTATTGCTTTAGAAAGTTGTGTTAGTATGAACACTTGACCAGTATTTTCTTCATAAAAACACTAGCACAATTAGAGCAGGTCAATTAGAGATCAGGCCATTATTGAGGACTCTGGGTTCTGGAGAAAGTCACTCAGAACCATCAGATAAAATGGCCCATTTACTCTGAATTATCCGCAAATGTGTTGCTCTGGGGATCTGACCTTATAGATGTAGCTGACTTGGGCTTTCTAAATTCATCAGTTTGCAAAATTCCTTGGTGAGGATTTGATTTTACTTTAATTGTAACTGACCCCCATTTTTCCTTCTGATCATTGTACTACATTCTTAACCTTTTAAACTAGGAATTCAGTGACTCGGTGGACTGTCTTCCTAATTTGCATACCGAGTTTGCTGGAAGGGTCCTCAGCCTTGGCATGGTAGCTGCAGTCTGTGATCTGCAGAGTCCAAGTGCAAACACAAGGGTTCTGCATTTGGGGAGGGGAACCTGTGTACTCAGGGCTGGATAGAGTTATCTTTATTAAAGTTACGAACATCAAGGACTAACATTACAGGACATTTTCCATGTCCCCAGCACTGTCTACTTGTAGCTATGCTCTGTCAGTTAACATTCTCATATTTTAAATATGGGAAATGCAGGGTAGTTGGTAGGTACTGTAAATAGTCAGACTGCAGAATCCACCTGAATCTCATAGAAGCTTTGCCTCTGTCAGAGAACAATATAAAGAGCCTGCAGTTTTCAGGTCTCTATACAAAGGAAGATATCATGTCTTCCACTGTGACCACAGATTTCAGGTGAAAGGAAGGTGGGCAACTCCCCCTTGTTACTCCAATACACCTTGCTGGGGAAAGATGGTGATTTTGCAGTACATTTGTGATGCAGCCACTGAACTGACACACATGAGAACTTGTACCGGCAAAGAGCAGTGGCTGATGTCAGCTGTGCAGAGAAGAGAGGGCTGATGGAGCCAGAACACAGGCACACACACATGCACACATCCACACGCACACACACACAGATTAGAACACATGCACACGTGCACAGCACACACACACACAGATTAGAACTCATGCACACGTGCACACACACACACACACACACACACACACACAGATCCCTTGCTGGTGGGCAGACTGAAATTCTAGCTCCCTTGGTCTTGTTGACTAGAGGACCAATGAGTGCCCCAGGGTGCTTGGGAATGGGGTGCACTGTACTCCTCCTTATCCAGGCCTGTGGTAGACAGAAGCCAGATTACTGGCTTCTCATATACATGAACTCCTCTCATAATGAATTTCTTGTCTTCTTAAGTGTTTAAAAAGACCATTTGAATAGCTTCTATATACCTTATATATCTCACCGAGGGTTTTTTTTTAAATGAGTGGGGCCACCCAGCTCCAAGGGCCAGCAGTGACAGTGGAGGGAACAAAAGTGAGGAGCCTTATAGGTCAGAATAGCTAAGTCATTCAGTGGTCTTTGCCCTCCCTTTCTGCATAGTTCTTATGCCAAACCTTGGAGTTTGAATTTTAATTCCCATGTAGTACTCCTATGCATCCCACCTAAGGTAATTCAGGGGACAAATGTTGAGCTGTCTTCTGTCAAGGCTGCTGATAATGCACTCATATTTTCAAGTGCCTGTAATGTATACTGGATGAAACACTATGCATATATCAAAAGGGTTTGTTAAACCTAAACATTAAAGTCCTGCCAAGCACTGTCTCTGGTTCACTGAAGTATCACTTTAAGGCTTTGTTCAAGTTTTTCTGAAGCCTCTAAAACTGGAGAGAAAAATAGAACAGGAAAAAAAAAACATCCTTTGGTGAATGGCTTGCTGGGGAAGCTGCAGGACAAGCTGCCGGAACATGCCTGCCATTATCCAGAGCCTTCTAGATAAATATGTCAATCTGAAAATGTTTCACTTTGGAATCGGAGGCGCTCATGATAATTTTGACATTATTTTCCAGCCTATTTATGGTCAGCAGTTTTATTAACAGAATGTCCAAGGAAAGATTCACGGAGATCCACAAACTCCAGAGAGAGCTGCCCCCAGCGTCATGGCTCCCTGTATGGGATAGCAACATGAAGACCAAGTAAGGGAAAGAGGCAATGTGTCTTCCTGGGCTTCCAGACCCTGATGGCCCTGATTCCAGTAGAAGCCTGGAGGGCATAGGGCTGGGGCTGCTCAACCAGTCTCTGAAACACCAGCCACCTGGCTCTGGGGAGGGGAGGGCCCGATGGGTGATATTTTTCTCTCAGCAGAACACAGCTGAACAGTAAGACTAATGAAACTGAATAATCAATTACCAATCAATCAGTAAACCATCTTATCTGAACTCCTTGTTAGGATTAACCCATTTTTGTGTTTTTGTTTTGCCAGTGCCAGTGTTCAAAGATATTAGGCATACTAATAAATAATAAATGGATACTGGAACAAAATCAATTTAGCAAACAAAATCTATCCATTAGCCCACTGCAGGCTTCTTAAGCTCCGTAAAAGTGTTTCCTTCCGGGTCATCATTTCTCCTTGGAGGACCAGGGAACTACCTTTGGAGGCAATCCAGCTGGGAAGGCCATTACACTGTCAGGTCTAAGGGCTCCTCTCCCAAGAGGATTGCTGCCACGGAAGCCGCCCACCGACTGTTCCGGAAAGATCTGCAGGCAGGTCTCTAGACCTTGCAGAGAAATAGTGCGCTATTGGCTCAAGCTGGGGAACTTTCCCTTAAAACTGTGTTATCCTCTGAGAGGCGCAGGGAAGCTTCCAGATTCTTCTCAAGGAGCTGTGACTTCTTTTGGGCTGGGGTGGGAGGCACATTTACAGGAATCCAAGCAACACAGGAGGGGGGGGCGTTGAACTAAAGCTTGAATCTTGAATCAGTGGCTTTGGATCCTTTCTCAAACAGACCAGATTGCTCTCTTGGGTTACTCTTCCCTGTCCTCCTCTCGACCAAACGCCCCCCCCAGTGCCTTGTCCCTATCCATAGTCCTTTATTGAGCTACACTTTTTTTGGATAAAAACCTAGGTACCCAACCCCAGACGATGGTGCCTGATTTCATCTTTGCAGTCCAAGGGCTGACTTGGGTTGTCTGCCCAAGGTCGTGGCAGCTGGCTAGTAGTCCCTAGACCATCGGGTCACACACAGAGGCAGTGTAGAATCAGAGAATGATAGTTGGGAATGGGGGCACAGGCAGAAGGGGGTGTGTACCCTGCTTTTACCCAAGTTACTAATTTCATTCAGGAAGCACATTTTGGGGGGGAGGACCTTGGCCACAGTAGACCTGCAATTCTCCTGCGATGATTGCAAACTGGACCCCAGCCTGGGCCGCTGCCCCGGAGACCATGCTGCATCATCCCTAAGCCTAAATAAGAAGAGACGCGGGAGTTTCAGAGACCTCTAAGTCCTGAAGCGATGACCAGCCCGCTTGAGCGCGCATGGTGCTGAAGCCCTCTTAGCAGTGGCTTTATCATACGTCTGCCCTGACTCTGAGTACTATGGCAGGACAAACCAAGGCAAAAAGTGGTGTCTGGGACTGTGGCAGGTGCGCTCTGAGACAACACCTCCCCCTCCCCCAGCGAAGAAGAGAAGCTGTAGAGAGTAGTCGTCTCCTTGCAGGGTTTGGTGTTCTAACGCGCCAGCTAGCCGGCCACCTGTTTCACAAAGGTTGAATTTGTGGGGGGCACAATCTGCCGCCGCAAAGACCCAATCTTTTCTCCCCTCCAGGACCGCCAAAACCGCTCATCTCAAATCTAAGTGCGCACACGCCTGCGGACCCACTACCCTCCAGTGGCGACTTACTTCCCGGTGTCGCTCCCCCCACCCCGCTCAGCCGGAGCCTGGTGCCGGCTTCCCCACGCGTGGCTCGTGGCGGAGCGCGCCAAGTACCTGCGGTGAAGATGCAGAGAGCGATGAGCGCCTTGCAGACCATGTTACTCCGGCGCTCGGTACCGAGCTGGACGCGGCTAGAGAAGAGTTTCCTGGGGCTGACCAAGTGCATAGGGCACCGGTGGCTCCTCTACCGCCCGGTGGGCTGCGGGAGGAGGGGGTGGTGCTGACCGCCCGGCGCGATCAGTTCAAGCAGCTTCGGTGGCAGCTTTGGTGTCTGGCGGCGCTAGGCGAAGCGGAGGTGGCGCGCAGAGTCAGCTGTGTGCCCTGCGGCGCCAGGCGCACTTCTGCTCCATCCCAGCTGCGCGAGCCCAGGGCCCGCCTGCACTGTTGCCAAACCCCGCCCACATGGCCCTCCTGCGAGGACAGGGCCACCCACTGGCCTTCCCCCTCCCTGCGCACTGGTCCCAGGAGTCCCGGCCCAGGGCGGCCTCTGCTGGACAGTGGGCGCTAGGCCCGAGCTTTCAGTGGATTCAGCCGGTAGCTCAAGAGAGCCCTGCACTGTTCTAGAAGCCAAGGTAACGCTGAGTGCTAATGGGTCCCGTCCTTCAGGAAACCGACTCGATTTCGCTTATTAGCTTTAGAGAGGTGACAAGAGGTCACCTCAGAGAATCAAAACACTTCTTTCCAAGTACGGAATAAGGACCTTCACCTTCATATCTTCAAAGGACTCTCTGTGTACTTTAAACCCTCACCAGCCCGGAACTTCCGCTGCACTTCCTGGTGCCTGGGCTACCCTATTCAGCCTCATCTCAGAAGAAATGCCACTGTCTGGTTACATGAACCAGGTCACTGAACCAGGTGTCTGACTAGTTACCGCTCCGAAGTTCCTTCTACTAACCCAGAGACATAAAATTGTTATTTTGCAGGTGAGAAACTGAAGGTATGGGAAATTACGGAAGGTGCTATGCTTATATAACTTGTAAGAATGGATTGTATAGTGGGCCCATCCATGATCACAATACAATAGTATATTGTTATATAATAATAGTTGAAGATGATGATGGTTGACATTTCCTGAGAAATGGAAATAGGTTGGACAATGGCAATGTGCATTCATATACAACCCAAGTTAAATTATTTGCTTCCCATTGTAAATATCCCAGGTGGGTATGTTGCATCCTCATTTTCTTGGGTAGGAAATAAATTTAAGTTAGTTTTCAGGCCTCACAGTTATCAAAGAATAATCATATGCCTCCCTGGGCTCATTCTCCGTACTTGAACGCCTCTCCAGAGATCAGGGCTTCTCCTAAGAGGGATTAAAACTGACCTTTCACCTAACACCTTAGTTTTCCCACACACCTTAGACTTGCCTAGTTATGAACCTGTTACATGCCATATCCTCTTCAGTTTGGTACAGTCTGAGCCTGCTCAGCGAGAGTCCTCAGAGTAAAGGAACCTTCATAAGAACTTGAAGAGCCTGGTGCCATCCGCAGAACTGATTTTCTGTCATTTGCTGTGTCGTTTTCCTCATGTCAGAGACTCTTCTCCTTCCCAGCCACGGTTCATCACTTTCGCTGTGGCCAAGTCGATTCTGGGCTTGACCTCTCCATCACCACTTGTAGATCTTGGTTGGACTTCCACAATAGATTACACTGGCCTCATAATTGTCCTTTGTCTTCACAAATGTACTGATTCCTGTTGCGATACGAGGCAAAAACACTAAGAACAAGGACAGAACCTCCTTTCCTGCCTCTTTGGACAGAAAAACTGGCAAATTCAACATCTTAAACATTTCTCCGAACCTTCTGGTCTCCATTCTACAAATAGAAGTTGGCTGGTGGAAGAGACAGTAAACCACTGAGAAACATCTCACAACTCTTTCCCATTAGACTTTCTTCTCTCTGTCTGGTCACTGGGCATGCTGTCATACCACCTAATGCCAGTCCCCATTGCCTGAAACACTATACTCAAATAAAAAATGAAAAAAAACCATACAGTAATAAAGGCTTTTGGTATTAAGTGTTACAAATAATATCTATTAACATTTATTAACATCTGTTATGTGTTAGAAAAATTTCTAAGTGTGTGTGTGTGTGTGTGTGTGTGTGTGTGCGCTCGCGCGCATTTCTTTACACTTTATGAGGTAGATACTGTAGGAGACCAGAACAGGCTGTAGGCTGAGTTTTTCTGTGCCAACTTCCTGCTCTCAAATAGCCAACATGGAGACTTAAGATTACTTATAAATGCTTGGTCAATAGATCAGGCTTGTTACTAACTACCTCTTGCAACTTCTGTTAATCTGTGTGCTGCCCCAAGGCTTGTGGCTTTTACCTCTGTCCCATTTCGTGTGTCAGACTCATTCTCTGTCTGGCTTGTGACACCTTTAACTCTGCCTTTCCTCATCCTATCATTCTCAGTTTGGCTTTTCCATCTGACACAGTGTACAGAAGGCTTATTCCACAACAATTTGCCACCCCAAAATACACCTCCTTGGCATGATAATTACTTTGAGAAATAGGGAGAAATTGGAGAAACCCTGAGAATAGAGTAGAAGTTACTCTCCTGTGGAGGGGGTTTATAAAGGTAACATTCATTTGTAAGGATGTTTCTATCTCAGTAGTAAGAGAAATAAGGATGACTAAACTACTAAGCATGTTGATCAGTGGAGAGAGCAGTGGTCTAAGTCTGTATAACAAACCTTACACTGTTTTCCAAGTCTTTGTTGATCACTTTGCCCAACACCATTATTATTAACTGTTATTATTAGTAGAATTATTAGCAAATTGTTCAATTGAAGATGGCTGTTAAGCCTTGTTACTCATCTCCTGTGTATATATTGTCTATGCATGTTCTTAAACTTTTTTCTCTTATTAACTGCCTTTCATTACAGGGGTCCAAGCTAAGACCTTCTGTATGGTAAAGTCAAAGCTATTTTTTCTCTCCTGTAAGACTACTATCCTAAATTAAAAATAAAGTAACTAAGCTACTTGGAATTGAAGGAAACCGAATGATGCTATGTTATATAATAGCAGGGGGTCAGGGATGAAACTTGCATATAACTATTTATACCTTTATATCAAAAGCAGCTTTCTTCAGAGATCTTTCTTGATCCTTTTATAGTGTTCCAGTGGGATAAAATCTGAGATAAATCTGCCCTTTACCCACTTCATTCCTTTTTGATCACAGAATAAATTTCTAGTGTTATTGACTTTCAACATTTTGCAAAAATATTGCCCTTGACTGGATTAGCTTTTGACATCCTAGGTGTATTACACTTCATGGATATTGTTAGCTGAGATATGTCAGACTCACAGAAATATTATCCCTAGACATTTAGTCTCATGGTTGAGGAGCGAGCAAACGATTTGGGTGATAGAGCTGTGGGAGATAGTGTAACAGTGACTAGAGGTATAATCCACAGCTCCTCCCTACCACTGGCCAAACAAGGATTTCACTTTCTTGGCACCGGTCAGGTCCTATATTAGTGTTCTAAAGCTGCTATAATGAAGATGATGATGATGATGATGATGGTGGTGGTGATGAGGAACACTATCTGTTGAATGTCTTAAGAAACAAAATATTTCTCCCTCTTTCCTTCCCTCCCTCCTCCCTCCCTCCCCCTCCCTCTCTCCCTCCATCTTTTCCTTACTTCCATTCATTCCAGTGTTGTAAGGCAATTCCACCAGAGAACACATGGACACTCTTAAAGCCAAATAGAACATCTGTATTGCTGACTGGCGACTGCAAGGGGAACTTGCCTAAATCATGCAGCCCAAGCCTCACCGTTCTTTGCCTTATATACATAAAAACCACATCTGGTTGACACACTTCAGTTAGCAAGAACAGTTAGTGAGAGGTGAAACTACAGAGGCCAAAAAGCAAAGCTAGCCCTATTGGGGACATTCCCAGACCCTGGAACTATGGACTATGCCTTTGATAGATTAGATCTTTGTTCTCATTTTGGCTGGTGTTGGGGTCTCTATGCTGTGTTCTAAGGTCACAATGGAGCCTCTAGCATGGTGTCAGTTGTGCTAAGGTCTCGGAGTCTGTTATACCAGTGTCAGAGTATTAAAGATTGAACATGGGGCCTCAGATATTCTAGATAATTGCTCTTCCACTGAGCTACATTCACAGCAGTTGTTTTACTCTCTATTTTAAGGTAAGGCTTTGCCAAGTTGCTCAGGCTGGGCTTAAACTTGCTCTGTAGTCCATGGTGACCTTGAACTTGTTATCTTTCAGCTTCAGTCTTCCAAGTAACTGAGATTATAGACCTGTACCACCAGGTCCATCAGAATTTTAGTTTTCAAAGTTACAGAGGTTGACTGCTAAGACAAAAGTGCAGCAGAGTTGCTTTGTGACATTTTTTTTCTTCCCTGGGTTTGACAATGGATATAGCATCATATGACCTTTTATCTGTGGTACATTTTTATGGGTTTTATTCCTTTATAAGGGCAACAGTCCTTCTGGATTGGGATGTCACCACTATGACCTAATTTATCCTTAATTACCTCCTTAAAATGCTAACTTTAGGTACCAGAAGTACAGTGGCTGTCAAAATGTCAACACCTGAGTATGAAATGCATGTGGAGCATTCATTTGGTCCATTAATCCCATCTTCTGGCCTCCAAAACTTATTTTCTTTCTCATGCAAAATACATTTACCCCACCCCTAACAGATCCAAGAGTCTTAAGCTATTGCAGCACTAGCTTTTCATCCAAGTTCTCATCTGTCATCTAAGTCAGGTATGGGCAAGACCCAAGATATGAGTCATTCTTGACCAATTCCTCTCTCATGGAGAAACCAACAGTTATGTGCTCTCAAAGCACAGTATGGGTAAGCCTTGTGAGAGTTTCCTCTAAACCTCACCCCAAGCCCAGAACAGATAATAGATTGGAAAGGTTTGTCGAAATCTAAGGGCCAATTAATGTCTAGACTAGAGAACAAACTTTGGAGTGTATATGAAGACATTTGGGGAATCACTGGGCAGCGAGAACACATTGCTACCTGCTGCAACTGTTCTTGACACTCATAGCTGTATGGAGGGAGCTCTGAGAGCTGTAATTGTGACTGCTGCAAATGAACAGCCTTTTTTCTTACCGTTGCCTCTTACTGTGGCCCCTTCCCACCCTTGCTGCCATTCCAAGGCAGAGATGCAGCAGCTTCAAGACTTTGCTCTATTTTATTTTTGCTTCATTTCCTTCCCACAAGCTGAATCACAAACTTGTCCCTATAGCTTTGCTTTTCTCTATTGAACCATGATTCTTTGACATTTAATATTAATGGCAAAATAGATTTAAAGCAATTACTCACACTGTAGAAGTAGAAATTTGGAACTTAGCTGAGAGAGAAGCACTTGAACTGGGCTGTTTTGAAAGGGCAGGATGAAGCACGGTTGTTCACTGATTTAAACAGCAGTGTTTGAAGCTGCATGACCACTCTGAGAACAATAAACCATGTGTCAGCAATTTTTAATTAAGGATTACAACTCTTTAAATATCTCAAGAAGGAAGAAGCTGACTTCTTGGAGGCTATGCACACAATGGAACCACTTATTCAAACTAGTTAAAACTTAATTGAGTTAATACCCTTAGACTAGTGTGTGCCGTCCAATAAAAATAAAACACTGGCCAGGCCGCATGCGCTACTTAAACTTTTTGAGTGGCTTCATGTAATCTCTCTCTCCCTCTCTCTCCCTCTCTCTCTGTCTCCCCCTCTCTATCTCCCTCCCTCCTCTCTCTCTCCCCCCTCTCTCTCTCCCTCTCTCTCTGTCTTGCCCCCTCTCTATCTCCCTCTCTCCTCTCTCTCTCCCTCTCTCCCTCTCTCTCCCCCTCTCCTCTCTCCCTCTCTCTCCCCATCTCCTCCCTCCCTCTCTCTCCTCCTCTCCTCCTTCCCTCCCTCCCTCCCTCCCTCCCTCCCTCCCACTTCTCTCTCCTCTGTCTCTTTGTGTCTCTTTCTCTCCCCTCCTCTCATTTTAGTGCTGGCCTGGAATCCAGGACCTTGCATATGCTGGCACCCACTATACCGCTGAGCTTCATACCATTTCCAAAAAGGAAGAGAAACAACGAGAATTTATTGAAGAATATATTTTACATATCTAAGATGTCTTAGTTATCATAACAACAGGTATCTAACATAAACATACTGAGCTAGTTCACATGCTTTTCATTCTGTTGTAGACGTTATACTTTTATACATGCAGGTCATTTTAATTGGTCAGCTGCCTTTCATTAACTATGACCAGCAGGTGCCCTCTTGGGCAGTGCAGTCATTACATGCAGCTGAAGAGCAAGAGGTGGTGTGAATGAGGCCCAAGGATGATGCATGGCCAAAGGAAAGTCTGTAACCTTTACGCTCTGTTTCCCACCTGCATTAGGTACTTCAGATAGTTGTAAGCACACAGAAAGTGTCATGACTCAGTGTAGACAGAGAATTCAATCAAATGCTGCATGGTAATGGAAAAAGTACGACCAACAGTAAAATTGTAATAAAACATCATTACAGGGTTTAGACAAACTATACTCATGGCTACCCAAAGCCACTGGCAGCGCTGTTTAGCCCTGTAAGTCGACATGTGCACAGTTTGTAGGAGAATTTCTCAAACGTTGTGGTCTCAGGATCCTCTGCATTGCTGACTTATAAGAACTCCGCAATGTTTATATAAGAACAGCATCTTCAGACCCCTTCAGGGAACTTCAGATTTTCTTCCTCTATACTGCATCCTTGTTCAACAAGGTACAGCTTCTTAAAAGTCAGTCAGTGTGGAATCTGAAAGCTTGTTAAGGCAATTTTCATATTGTGACACATTAAAATTCATTAGACTGTTCTATACTTTGAATATGTTTTTCATCCACACAGGATTTTTTTTATGATGTTAAACTTCGGTCATGTGAAAAACATTGCCTCACTGAGTTTTACAGATTATCCAAAAATTTAAAACATTTTATTGTGCAATATCAAAAATACCACATTTGAAAAATATAAAGTGTTCATAGAATTTTAACCCACATCATCAGAAAATAAGTATTAGGAAATGATGAAGCTATTGGTAAAGGATACTTGTCTCTTCAAGTTTTAATTTCCCCCTGAAATACTGAGTCCTCCCAGTGACACAAACACTGTCAAGTGTTTTTTTCTGACATGACAAACTAAGTTCATGGGAAAGTGTCTCACAGATCCCTGGGTCTAAATAATCAGTTTATAACATTTTTTTCCCTAGGAAAACCAATGCATTCATGAAAGAAAAGCAACTGCTGTACCTTGAAAGTCATCACACAATGGTCTTGCCTGAATCACTATTGTATTTTTGTACACGGGTACTTTACACACCCCAACCTGTTACACATTTCCCAACCTGTTACATAAAGTACCGAGACCACTTAAAATCAGTTTCCTGTACTTCTGAATCACGTGTAGTGTAGCTGTGTAAGTGACACTGAAAATGTTTTCAAGCTGTGACTTTACCGCTGTGATGTGTAGTGCACCCAGAAGTGGTGAGAAGCATATATTTTCTGTTACATTGACACTATAGTTATAGGACAAAGTCAGCCATAGATGCATAAATGAGTGGATGTTTCAATAAAACTTTAATTCAAGATAGAACTCTCAATTTCACATCATTTTCATGTGTCATGAAAAGTGCTTTGGTTCTGAGATTACAGAATTTATGCAACAAATTTGCATAAATTACCATAGACTACCAACCCATGTTCTAAGGGAACTTACATTAGATTCTGCATAAATTTGTTCAAACCTGTGACTACAGTGATCAGCCTTGGTTTTCTAAAGTAGGTACTAACAAATTCCAACTCCAGATCATTGTGGAGTTAGGACTCGGGTTCTGATTTATGAGGAAGCTTGTTTTCTCTGTTTGTGCTCTTCTGGGGTTTGGCTGTAGATTTCCTGCCCTGCCTCTCAGTGTGGTGGTGTTTAGGTGGTAAAAACATTGCACAGTGGGGTCTGGTGGGGCATAGCTAAGCCACTGCTGTGGTGGGGTTACCATCAGAAAAGATTAGAGTTCCATGAGACTGAGTCATTATGACAGAGTGAGCCTGAGTCTTTCCCACTTGGAGTCTTGCTGTGTTGACTTGGGTCTTGCTGTGTTGATCGCTTTCTCATGCATGAGGTCCCATCATGATGCCATCTCCTGATGTGACTCAGTCAAGGGTGCTGCACAAATAGGGCTGTCTATGCCAGAATGTTTAGCCTTCCAATCCATGAACTCTTAAACCTCTTTTCACACATTGCCCATTCCCCAGTCTTGAGAATTTTGTTACAACTGATATATTTCATTTTTTCACATGGAGCTGAGTTGAGGTGTTTATAGTTACTTTGTGTGTAATCTTTTGCCTCAGGTATATTTATATTTTTATAGCCTGCCTTTCCATTTAAGTTCTCTTAATGCACAGTCCTTAGTGTTAGACAAGGAATCCAATTCCAATACTCCAGTTCACACAGGCCAAGTTCTCATCTCTTGTCTTCCAAGTGGTCATTAAACCTAGGGCATTTACAGCTTTAACGGCTGCTGACACTCAAATTATAGTTCCATTTCCTCCTTTTTTTGGACCCCTGTGGCTTTTCCTTGCCTTCTTTAGAACAGACTGTATATTTATGAAAAGATTATAGTAGTTTCCAATGTTTTAAGGACAGTTTGTAGCAGCAGGTGGGTTTCTAGAAAATCTACATTTAAGGAAGTGGGTGTCCTTTAAACTTTCTATTTTTCTTCCCTTTTTATTTTGCCTGTTCAAGCTCATATCTTATTTATGCTTCCCAGCTTCTTAGACTGGTAGAAAATCTTAACAATAGCTACCTATCATCTTCCTTCCTCCCTTTCTTCCTTATTTTAAATCTATGGTTCCAGTATTTTCTGTGATGCTAAACTTTTGAGTGTGAATAAAGCCACCTCACTGTTGAGTCATCTGCTCCATCTCAATCCCGAGTTAGCACAGAGAATTGGTCATTGTTTTTCATATGAGTCTTCAGATCCAGGGTCTGCCTGTAATGGTTGGGGTGTCAAAATCTCTGCAAAGACAGTCATTCCCTTACTGAAGGGTTTCAACTATTATAGGGACTATGCCTAGGAAGTAGATCCCAGATGCCCTCTGAATTTAGACCCTCAGACTGTCTCTGTTTATTATTCAACCTACTCTCCTACCTCAGGAATTTCCTTGTTTCTGGGAAATTATATTCGTCTCATCATTCTGGCATAGATACCTTGTCTGCACCCTAATCTTTGGGCTTTAGGGATTAGGCCTTTACAAACAAAGACCTGGAAGGTTGTGAGGCATTTTCAGTGTTTTCTCTGATGTATTGTTCTCTTGTTCTTTCTCCTTCAGACTGGTAATGAGGAATAAATGTGGTCAGGAAGAAACTTTTTTTTAACAGGCAAATCTCTAGATGTATCTTCCTACATGTTTGTGAGGTGACAGTTCTGAAGAGGTTGATAGAGTTTCCATAGAGGAGTTACTGTTGAGAGAGAAAGGAAAAGGAGTCCAAGATACTCCTTGAGAGCCAAAGTACCAGGATTGCTAACTGATGGCATGATGTGTCATTGAGGGACAGGGAATAGGACTTCCAGGTTTCTGTTGGTCCAGTTTATTGAGCAGTGACAGTCTGTAGAAATAGAGTTTGGGAAACCTTTCACGTCTACCCTCCTACTTGAATACATGGATTTCTAGTTGTCAGTGAATAGAATACATATAGATTAGAGATCAGTAACTGTTACTAGCAATATCTCTGGTCCTATGCAAAGCAATTGATCTGAATTTGGTATTTCTTTGGCATCTAATGTGGCCTTAAACTGGACTGATCTGATTTCAGAGTCGTCTGCTTGACAGAATTGCTCAACTATTAAAACCATAAAAGAAATCATTTATTGTATTTTTGAATTCTCATATTGGGTGATTATTTGATTACATGTTTTAAATTCTTTTCTTTTGTTATGTTCTCATGTCTCAAACCACAGGAACTGATTCTAGTTAATTCAAGCAAGGAAATGAATTTTTTTGAAAGATGTGACTCAAACGCAAGGAGAAGTTAAATATCAGGTCTCCAAAGACAGTGTAGCAGGGGGTTGGGGAACCAAAGATCTGTTTCTTTAGCAATCCCTACAGAATGTCAAAAAAGAATCCTCTCCATCCATTCTTCCATTAATTAACAGTCTCATTAACAAGAGTCCAACTTTCACTAAATGTTGTTCCATGGACAAGGATGTCTCCAAAAGAAAACAAGCATCAGTATCTTAAAAGTAGGAAGGTTATTAAAATTAAAAAAGTTATTTCTGGCTATCCTGGAACTTACTCTGTAGACCAGGCTGGCCTCTAAATCACAGACATCTGCCTGCTTCTGCCTCCAAAGAGCTAGGATTAAAGGTATATGCCATCACAGCCCAGTGTGTTTCTTTATAATTTTAAAAATTACATTGCTTGCGTGTGTGTGTGTGTGTGTGTGTGTGTGTGTCACAGTGAACATATGAACAAATCAGTTTCATCTTTCTACTACATATTATATATGTCCTAGGTTTGAACTCAGGCCACAGGGCTCAGTTGGTAGTGCTTTTACTCAATGAGTTTTCTTTTCTTCCCAAACTCTCTTTTCCTCAGTCCAACAAAGAAGCACCTTTTGGAGCAAAAACTGGACACCATCTGTGTGGTTCACCCAACCTTAGTGTGCAGCCCCTTTGAAGTCATGGCCACTGAAAATGAAGACACAAACTTACGTCTTTATAGCCTTTCTGCAAGGAATGATTCCTACATCACTTTGGCCTTAACCTAGCAATTTGTCACCTGTTTTTATGGAGTCTAAAGCCACATAATTATCAGGTCAGATATTCCATCTGCCTTGGGCTACCAGCAGCCAGTATCTGGGACTTCACTGATTGTTCAGGAGAACAGAAGCAGTCAGCAGAGGATTCACCATCCCCAAATAAAATCACCACTGCACCCTTACTCACCAGATCAGTGTGCCTTCCCAAGAAAGTAACTCACAATAAAAGTCTCCTCCTATGTCATATATCACAGTAGAACCCATGATTTTTAATAAATTCATCTTAAGGAATATATATTAAACTATATATAGTTTTATGTATATATAGTTTTTTTATCATCTGCTATTATTTAGATAGTATTTTGTGTTTGTAAAGCATTCAAAGAAGTTGGTTAGCAATCCTCACTTACAGATCTTCAAATTATTTCTTCTGTTTGATGCTAATAAAAAAGATCCACAGAGATGTCATGCCGTTCTATTTTACTTCTGTTTTAAAATATTTTAAGGATTCTTACAGGCATGCATTCATGCCACCTTCTGTTGGAATGCTGATAATAAATAAGGGTAGGTTTGGGGATTAGAAGAGAATGTCGGCAGTCAAGGCAAATAGTATACACTATTTAATAACAGCATGGGACACCTGGGAAATCTATGGAAGTTTCCAGGAACCTGAAAAGAGCTTTGTGAACATTAGTCTTAGTAATTCAAACATTCTTATTAGGATCATGAGTTCATAGTCAAAATGATGCAGAAATCTCTCTAATTAACCAGCCATGTGAGACCGGTGCATTTCAGTGGAGGCTTTATTTTGTCTGCATTGGCTTGTTATTTGTTGTGGCTAGTTATGCTGTCTACCGAAAGTCTTGGCCCTTCATATTACCTGTAATAGTGTCACATGGGGGGATGTCCAGACAAGTATCCCATTTATCATCATCTTGCTCTTGGTGCTAGTATTCTGTATGTTTCTTTTTAAATGAAGTGTAAGAAACTGCCTGAATCTCTTCCAGGCAGGTACTGGGAAGAGGCAAGCAGGACTTCTCTTCTGCCATCCCTTTTCCCCCAATGATAGTGAAGCCTGGTGTTCAGTTGACTGGAGGAGAGTCACTAGATTATCATCCAGCCAAGTAACCCATGTCTATTGTATTAAGCTGTTAAAATTTTAGCTTTTGTCATTGAAGCTAATGGTACTCCAATTAATATAACATCTATGTGTCCTGGTTGGTTTTTGTCAACATGACACAAATGTCAAATATTTGGGAAGATTGGATCTTAATTGAGAAAATACCTCTGTGAGATTGGCATGTAGACAAGTCTTTAGGGGGCATTTTCCTGATTAATGATTTAGATGAGAGGGCCCAGCTCATTGTGGGCAGTGTCACCCTAGGCAGGTGCTCCTGCTGGTGAAAGAGAAACAGGCAGAGTAAGACAGAAATCAGCACTCCTCCATGGCTTCTCCTTCAGTTCCTGCCTCCAGGTTCTTGTCTTGAGTTTTTACCCTGACTTCCATCAAGGTAAAATGATAGGTTGTGACCCAAAAGTTGTAAGATTAAATAAACCCTTTCCTCCCCAGGTTGCTTTTGGTCGTGGTATTTTGTCACAGCAATAGAGACTAAGTAAGACATCATGGAGGAGTATTTATGTGACTCTCTTCTTTAGTCTAATTCTATTTGCATACATTCATTTTTATCACGCATTTACTCAACAAATGCAATTTTAAGTATCTATAATGTGCCAGGCACTATGTTTACTGTACAGTAATGAATAGACATGGAGGATACTCTACTCTATGTAGTGCAAGGGATCCACTCATGGGAGCGGATGAGGAGAAGTTGTGGGAAGGAAGACAGTGAGTGAACAAAAGGAGTACAGTGGTCTTCATCCATTCCAGGCAATCAAGAAAGCCTTTGTGTGAAAGTGACCCCTGTGTTGAAACTAGAAATTCTGTGGATATGGGCCAGAGAAAGCATGAGGATTAAGGGGAGGCAACTGCATGTATAAAAGTCCCTGGGCTACAGACAGTGTAGACATTCTGTGACTAGTAGAAGATAATGGCTAATGTACCATCCCCTATGCAGCAGCACACTTTAGTGGATGAGTAAATTAGAACACTGCCCAGTTTAGAGCACAATGGTATTTCAGCCCAGGCCTTGGCTTCTGTGCATCCTGGAATGCGGCTAATGAGAATGTCTAAGATGAATTGCTTAGCTATGCCTTCCTTCTGAAAGCCATTCTAGTGCTGTGTCAGTCCAGCAGCATCCAGCTAATCATGAACAGAATTTTAGCATCTTTATTGGTGCTGCAGTGATCTGTTTCAGTGTTCCATCCTCTTGTTTTTTTATGTAAATGTACATCCAAACCAGAGACAAAAATTGGTCATTTCTTGGCACCATATTCATCATCCCCTTCCTCCATTTCCTTCTTTCTTTATTCTTTATCTTCTGAAAGACAGTTACTGTGTTTCTTTGAGAGTAAATGAGTACAGGAAAAGAATATATTGAATTACCACATCATACATCTATTGGAAATTATTATAAAAAAACAAAGATAGTGAACAATGGATTGGGAAAGGCTCTATTTCATTTTGGGAACTATGAATGGCTGTTTTGTAGAATTATTTAGCATGCTAAAACTCCTCCTTAAATTTAAATCAGCATACAACAGAGATGCTTCTGTGTATGTTCATTGGCACCGTTCACAATAGCCAAACAGAGGAAATCAGTGGCTGAATGGGAGGAAAGTGTGGTATATGCACACAATACATTTTATTTGCTCATAAAGCATGCAATTCAGTCATTTGTAGGAAAACAGACGGGACTGGAGGTCATCATGTTAAATGAAATAAACCAGGCTTGGAAAGACAAATCTCGCATGTTCTCTCGTTTGTGGAATTCAGATTTAAAACTGAAAATAAAACCTGAAGGTAGAAGAGGGATTTGCTGGGGGAGGGGGATGGAGGACAGGAGCAGAAAGTGGATGGGGACCAGAGAGGATGTTGGGGCGTAATGCATAGTCTTAAAGTACATGATACACATTCTTATAAAGATGTCATAATGAAACCCATTGTTTTAGACAATGAGACGTGCTAAAAACAGCAAATTCTCTTTTCGGGGTCTTTCTCTCTCACGTCTGCTCCCTGGCTCCATCAAATGGGCATACTGTGCTGGGCGTGAGACCGGCACAGCACCAAAAGGAAACAGATCTATCTGACAAATATCTGTGCTGAATTACATGGAAGCTTTTAAAAACCCATGAAAACAAACAGCAGCTGGAAGATTTCTCTCCTATTGGAGATTCACGATGAACCTTCTTACACCTGGATTGGGTCCAGTTAACATCAAAAGAAACAAACCAAATGCCTGCCAGCTTCCATGAGAATACTTAGCAGCAAGGGGATCTCCATTTTGTCTGCTTCTTTGCATACAATAACAAAAGTAACAGTAGCACCAGCTTCCAGGCTTGCATTCCTAGTGTTCCAGATCCTGATGCATGCATTTCCTCCAACGCGGTGGCTGCTTCCAGTGCTGTGCAGATGCAGCCCTGGTCGGGAATAGGCTGGGAGTCAGTGACTAGGCCTTTCTGTTTTAATATTTCTACTCCAGGCAAAGAGTCGACAGCTCAGCAATGTTCCCTAGCCCTGCCCAACATCAGGCATCTAGTGAGTGGCAGAACCCAGACTATTCCCAAGCCCCAGTCATTTCCTTCGACAATACGGCCGGCTGTTTCTCAAGGGCCCTCTGTGCCCATTATGTGCTGTGTTTAGATATAACTCGATCCAATTTCTTCTCATCCGCAACTGCAAGATTGGACAAGATTGCAGCTGGAGAGAGAGGGCTCTGGGGTTAAGAGCTCGTGTAGCTGTTTCAGGAAAACCAAATTCAGTTCCCAAACCTGGGGTGGTTCACAGTCACCTGTAATTTCAGCTCTAGAAGTTCCTTCTGGCTTCCATAACACAGCACACACACATGCACACGTGCGTGCACATACATAGGTAAACAAATCCTTAAAAATGTACAGCTGGGATCTGCTTCTCTCTGTGGCCTAATTCCTTCACACTGGTACTCCAGGGTTCTCTTGCTGCAACTTGGCAGTCTAGCTTGCATCTGAGTTTCTTGGCTCTGGAATCTACAGCCTGACTGGGTTGGATTTAGTTTCAGATTCTCCACTTGTGTCTCTGGGCTGACTGCAGCTCAGGTTGCTGCCTGACCTGGCCTGCTGCTCTCCATTTCTGCCCACTCCCCTGCTTCCTGCCACCCTGCACTTGCCAGAAGGGGAATGAGCAGGCTGGCAAAACTAAAGAGTGCACTTGCAGCATAGGGCCTTGATTTTTCCAGAATTCTGCAGCTAACTTAGAAAAGGAAAATAATGATCTCCAGTTTGACAAACTGTTAGAAGATCTGAGAATCGAAGAGGTAATGTTTGCAAAGGGATCCAGAAGATAGGTTCTGATAAAAGAGTCATTGCCAGAATCACAGCAAAGGGTGATGTTTTGAAGGTGATTAGCATAGGACCTAGAACATCATAAACTATTCATAAAGGGGAACTCTTTATCAAACTTTGGATGCTAAAAGAGCCCTTCGATGCCACCAATGCTAAACTCTTGCCTTATTGTAATGGGAAAGATTCCTCAGTTAGATATAGCTTCACCCTTCTGCTTATCTTCTGATTTGTTTTGTAAATATGTGTTTTCTTTTTAATTGGTACATAGTAGTTGTATTTGTTTATGAAATACACTGTGCTGTTTGAACAGATGTACAACAACGTGCAGTAATTGGAGCTGGGTAATTGGTACATATATAACCTTAAACATTCATCACTTCTCAGTGTTGATAACAGTCAAACTTTCTTTACTAATTATTTCGGAATGTACAAGTGATTGCTGTCAATTATGGTTATCCTGTGGTGTTCTGAAATGAGAAGTTCCTATCCAGCTGCACCTCTGAAACCCTTTAATCCTTTCTCCACCTTTCCCTCCTCTCCAGGTCCCCAGTGTTTACTAATTTTCCCTTTAGTTTCCTGAGATCAAAGTCTTTAGTATTTACATGTCATCAAGACTATGCAAGATTTGTCTGTCTATTCTTGGTTTACCTCACTTAACACCCTATTCCGTAGTTCAGTCTTCGTTCCTGTAAGTGAAAAACAGATCCTTTTTTTTTTTACTGCTGAGTCATATTCCATTGTGTATATACTTATATGTGCTTCTAGTTTTAATGTAGTAGTTATGGTCAGAAAATGCCTGTGCTTAGGGCCTGGAGATGGCTCAACGGTTATGAGCACTTGCTGCATTCTCAGAGACTTGGATTTA